GACAGATGGATGAATGGTTGGATAGATGGATGGATGGATGGATGGTTGGATGCACAGATGGATGAATGGTTGGATGCACAGATGGATGGATGGTTGGATGGACAGATGGATGAATGGTTGGACGCACAGATGGATGGATGGTTGGATGCGCAGATGGATGGATGGTTGGATGCACAGATGGATGGATGGTTGGATGCACAGATGGATGGATGGTTGGATGCACAGATGGATGGATGGATGGTTGGATGCACAGATGGATGGATGGTTGGATGCGCAGATGGATGAACGGTTGGATGCACAGATGGATGAATGGTTGGATACACAGATGGATGAACAGTTGGATGCATAGATGGATGAATGGTTGGATGCACAGATGGATGAACAGGTGGATGCACAGATGGATGGATGGATGGTTGGATGCGCAGATGGATGGATGGTTGGATGCACAGATGGATGGATGGTTGGATGCGCAGATGGATGAACGGTTGGATGCACAGATGGATGAACGGTTGGATGCACAGATGGATGAACAGTTGGATACACAGATGGATGGTTGGATGCGCAGATGGATGAACGGTTGGATGCACAGATGGATGAACAGGTGGATGCACAGATGGATGGATGGATGGTTGGATGCGCAGATGGATGGATGGTTGGATGCACAGATGGATGGATGGTTGGATGCGCAGATGGATGAACGGTTGGATGCACAGATGGATGAACGGTTGGATGCACAGATGGATGAACAGTTGGATACACAGATGGATGGTTGGATGCGCAGATGGATGGATGGTTGGATGCACAGATGGATGGATGGTTGGATGCGCAGATGGATGAACGGTTAAATGTGCAGATGGATGAACGGTTGGATGCTCACCTTGATGGGTGAGATGTGGAAATATTCAAAGAAGCTGAATCCTGATGCGTCGGACTGAGACACGTCTGTGGGCTCGGCCTGCAGGCGCTGCAGATCTCTGTCGATCAGCCCCGTCTGAAACACAGATTTATCACTGCTCTGTCCGAGGCTTTTATTCTGAAGGTGAAGTCTCAGCTTCCTGTTTGGACCTACCTTCATTCTGTCAGTTTGAGGGTCAGCATCTGGTGTAAACAGAGCCAGGACGGCTTCCAGGAAATCTTGATCAATCTTCACTGCCATCTCCTGAACCAGAGCCATGAAGTACCTGAAGAACAAGGAGATGAGTTAAAAGACTCACCTGGACCACACCTGGCTCCTGGAGGCGGGATCATCTCTGAGCTGGTTCTGTGGTTGCTACTCACTTAAACTGTGTGACATTAGTGTGCTGGTTGAACCTGGTGATGACCGAAATGTCRATGAACGGTTTTGGTTCTGAGGAGGCGGAGCACAGCACAGAGTCACTAAAGCTCGGCTCATCAACAGGTGAAAGGCAGGTGAGTAAACACTCACCTGAGTCCAGAGCGATGGACTTGGGAGGAGGAACTGGATGGAAGACGATGGGGAACATGGCACCCAGCAGCTGGTTGTCCACCTAAAACCAGAAACTATTAGTCACTGAGGTGGGCGGAGTTTCTGTTCAGGTGTTTGCGTGCATGTTTACCTGCAGCCAGTGCAGCTGTGCTCTCAGGCTGCGCTGGTGCATCGACTGCTTGAACTCCACCTGGATCCCAGACAGGAAGTTCCTTCTGATTGGGCAGGAATGGGGCTGACGCATCATCATTACCGCTGTATTCAAGTTCACCTGGACAACAGACAGACATGAGAACTCAAAGAACTGGATCAGGTGTGGTTGTGAGTCTGTACATGTGTGAGGCTGTGTGTGTGTGTGTGTGTGTGTGTGTGTGTGTGTAACCAGTCTGTTCATGTTGACCTCTGACCTCCATGTTGTTCTCCAGCACCACCCAGCCTCCTTCCTTCGTCCCACTCAGCTGACTCTGGTAGGTTTTCTCCAGCAGGTTGATGTTCTTCTGATTGAACGGCTTCCAGCGGTTCTTTGGTTTGTACTCCCACACCACACCTGAGCTGTAAGACAACCACACCTGAGCAGTAAGACAACCACACCTGAGCTGTAAGACACAACCACACCTGAGCTGTAAGACAACCACACCTGAGCTGTAAGACACAACCACACCTGAGCTATAAGACACAACCACACCTGAGCTGTAAGACACAACCACACCTGAGCTATAAGACACAACCACACCTGAGCTGTAAGACACAACCACACC